TATGTTAGTTTATGCTTGCAAGAAATTTTCTTTAGCAACAGCTTCGGATTTTGCGAATGCAGTAGGTAGTCAGGTAATACCTCTATTATTGATCTGGGAAAGACCTTAACGATTGTGATGGGATTTTGACCAGCTCTGTGCTTGTCATCGTCAAGGCTTAAGAAGAGCACGACGGAAAACATTGGGAGTTTGACCGGTTCCGTTATCTCGCTCTTTTGAGACGATAATTTATCGTTGGTTAAAGAATCTGATCCCTCAGAAACAGTCGAAAGTGGGACAGAAATGTCGATTATTTCGGATCTGAAGGTTCTGTTGTGTTTTTCAATGAGATCATTGAACTGTTTCAGTTAAAGGTTCAGACCGTCCAAAAACAAAAAATGCTCCAAAAATGTCGATTATTTCGGATCTCAAGCTTCTATTGTGTTTTTCTATGTCCTCATGCTACCTTTAGAGCATTCTGTTCATGTTTTTCCAATTTTTATTCTTTGATTTCGTGGTTTGTTTTGATGAGAAAGGGAAAAACCCCATCACATTACAACATTTGCTGTCGAAGTCTATAAAAAATATCCCATTATCAAGTTATTTTCTGGAACACATCTGTCTTATTGGAAATAGATCAGTGATGATTAATCGTATCCTATGGTCGAGGTGAATTGAATTTAAAGCATAGGATCGATACCTTTGTGTGTAAAATACATTTCTGAGAACTGTTTCTCGCGATTGCTACCACATTCTTCCCGGCATTTTCTGATTATTTTCTCAAGGCTTCCACAGTTAATGGAAGGTTCTTCCGGAAACAAATAATGCTGCGTAGTTTGTTGCGGCCAATAAGCCAAAAGATAGCGAGCGATTAATGTAACGCAGGTATAATAATGGGTTTACTTAGCGTAAATACACATTTTCGGAAAGCAAACCTAAATGAAAATGATGCCACCTTTTCAGAAAGCAACGAATCAGACCAGGTATTGTCTTTTTTAAAGCATTGTGATTATTTTCGACGTAATTTCGTCAAATGAATTCGGTGACTGAAAATTATCATGTCTGAAATCAAAACAACATAAGTGAAAAGTAAATACCAAGATGGTGTTCAAGCCCAGAATCGGTTCTTTTCGGAGATTCAAACCAACTGGTTCAGGGAAGTAAACATGCGATATTTTCGAATGTAATGTTCGTTTCACATTTATGATGAACGATGGTTTTACTTGTCTCATGCACTCATGTTCAACACTCAACCAAATTTTAACACAAAGGCATTTTGCGTTTAATTCCTGCATCGCCTGCTCAATACTGATCAGCGTGTAGAAAAAAACTTGGCATTTTCAGTAAAATGTGTTGTAGAAATTGTAAAAAGTAAGTTCCAATTATCGAGCTGAAATAGCTAAATAGAAATTTGTGGCCTACCGCACGATGCATGATGATGCAGTTCTTGCAGCAGAAGCAGCATCTCTGCAGTATCGAATCTCGATGGTGGCCGCATTCCTGCTGGGCGCGGAGGTGACGGGACGTGCGGGCGGATTGTTTGTGTCCATCGGAGGCCTCGGGGGCATTCCTCAATGGCTGAAGAATGTCCGGCGACACCGTCCGCTCCATGTTGCCAAATTTTACATCTAACTTACAAACTCGTTAATATCAAACCTTTACAGTTTGCCAAACGGTGAAGGAACTTCATTCCTTCCACTCAATATAAGTATGTGAAGAGAGTTGAGAATTGCAGAATGACGGTGATAGAGAGTTAATAACGGTAGAAACAAAGCCATCTGAGAGTACAAATTTTTGTTCAGTTGACCGTTACTAACGGAAACAGTTGAGTACAATAGTTAAAAAAGATGCGAAACTGAAACTTTATTTCAGAATCAAGAACCTAAGAATGAATAAATTGATAAAACAGGTTGAACTCGCGAAGAAAACCTGGATATGTCGTCCATCGCATAAGTCTAGACAGCTTCTTCTAAAAACGTATACGGTTAAAGTGATACTTCTGAAGTTTTTCGCAATTGTTCATGGACTAATACTATAATAATCTCATCAAAATACTTGAAGTAAAGTAGTAAACCTGTTCTGATAAAAGGGAGCTTAAAGGCAGGCACTTGAAAATGAGTCTGCTAATCAATAAAGTTTTCTTAATGGCAGTAGACACGACGCACTTTTCCCCAACTTATTAGCAAATAAATTGGGACAAGAAATAGAGGCGCTAATAAGAAGATCAATTTCTGAACTGAACATTTGATGCAAATCAACAACTGTCCAGTGTAGTCAGCTTTTTGGATGGTTTCGATTTTTGCAAGCTGATCAATTTAGGAGAATTTCAATTGTGATCTCAATTGACTGCAGGTTCGTTCATGCTAAGAACGAGTTTCATATCTTGTTTTCATCAGCTAGGTAGTTCTTATATGCATTATGTTCCAGATATTTTGCATTTTGTAGCTTTCCAACGTTCGTTTTAACAGTGATTTTTGCATCATCAGAATGTGCTCCGTGGAATTGGGCGACTGTCTAAGCTGCTAATTAAGAAACAGATTATCCAATACATGGTTATTGCTATTCTTAGTATTTTATTGATTGCTGATATCTTGTGTTGCTTCCGCTGCGTATGTCTGCGTGCTATTAGGGAAGTTCCATATACTTACCACGTTTCCTGATTTTTTTGCAAATTGATTTTTATTCTATGCATCTTGTTCATTGCTTTCTTTTACAAGCTTTTTCTTTGTGTTTCAGATTTGACATTTAAAGAATGTTTTCTTGTTTATTCATCAATTAGATCTGTGCGTTTTATGTAGAAGATTCTACTTTTACTATGCGTTGATAGCCGATACCATGTTCTGCTTGGTCAATGGCTTCGGTTACATGGAAGCGAAACTTTTTGTAGATTTTTATAAGTTTGTGATCGATTGCATTTGCCTTTTCATGATCTTTTTCTAACTATTTCAATAGTGAGATTGTACTTTGCACTTTAACAAGTTCGATTGAAATTTGATTTGTTCGTGGAGCTTACTTTTGCTGATATTTCCACATTTTCTCTGATATTATCTTCCGAATTTGTCGCGTGCTTCGTCGTAATCACAAATCATCTTCGTAATTAAAATAATTTCCCTTGCAGTTCTTTCAACTCAATTTCCCCATACATCCGAAGACAGATAGTAAAACCAAATCGACATTTAAAGAATCAAAAGTAATAACAGAACAATTCTCGATATTGGTGCAAAACTGTTTAAGGTGGGGCAGGGAACAACGACAGTTCTGCTCTTGTTTGCCTTCGGTTAATGCAGTTGATAGTCGTTTCTTTGAGAGCGAAGCCATTGATCTAAAGCGACATTATGAAAACATATTTTGTTTTGTTGCTGATAAATTCTTGGCAACCTCGCAAGAATCGCATTGCACTAGCAAGGACACCGTTGCAGGTTCAAGGCGAAAATGCTACGAGATGTTTCATTGCAAATCCGAAGAAAATCCAAACGAAGATTCTATTACATTTCGATACTGGCGGTCAAATCATGATCACGCAATTCCATTTTTTCAGTCACTGGCTTTAACAAGGAAACGATCTTCAGTTGTACCGACCGAGACCCGACAGTGCAATATCAATTGGTTCTGCGGTGTTTTTTTTGGCTTTTTGAAACTTTTCACGCCCGGCTTTTTTATGGTACGCCTATGCATCGGTCGTAAATTTCCTAGGACTTTCGACTTTCCAATAAAAATGCCGAGCCTCAACGGCTTCCAAGTAAAAAGCTCAATGGGTGCGTGTGTTTTTGTCCGTTTCATCCTGCAGTGCTCGTAAACTACAATGTTATTTGAATAAGACCGTGTACCGACTGCATACACTTACATGTAACGGTTTTTCACATTGTTTGGATGTTTTTCATATAACAGCACTAAATGCCCAGAAATGTGATCTCAATATGCGGCAGGAATTTATTTCACCTGAACAAAATCATTCAGAAGTCGGCTGAAATGCGGTCGATATAGTTTGGTTTGTGGTAACCGAAGGAGTTGCATCAAAAGATTTTTTTCTTTGGGGTTCTTGAAGAACAATAATAGACCTGATGAATCCGGATCTGTGTGTTGTTTCACCGTACCATTAGAACGTTTCTTGATACGTACCTGCGATCAACATACTTATTTGTTTACTGCGTTCTTAAGGCCTTTTTAGGAAGCATTCCCCGGAATGTAGACCATCAGATAGCAAGCGCGACCGTTCAAAAGCCTTTTTAAAAAATCGAAACTGTCCTGGATTTTCGTCCGATTGACAAATATTTATTGAAAAAATATTTACTGTCAATACGATCATTACAACAAATACTAATTGTAAATAAGCGCGATATTGACACGAAGGATGACAGGGCGTTTGTGATAAGACCGAGTATTTGATACCGAGCGTCAATATGGACTTCCTGTTGTTGTTGAAAAAATGTCTGCAGCAGGTTATTGTTGAGATGATATTGCGCAAAAGGGTTCACAAAGCCGGATCGTCCGTAAACAAGCCGAACCAATTTTAATTAAATCAGACAACCATCATGTTTTTTTAATGTACCAAAATTAATACATCAAACAATTTATCGAAATGAGACTTTTATACATTATAATTCCGATTTTATTTAACCTCCGTTCTTATTTGGTACGAGATGGCGCTAGGCTGAAGAGTGTGAAGAGAACCATTTTACGGTTCCATTGACCACATTTAGTCAGGGTTTCGGTCGGTCTCCACGCTGAATCAAACCGCGATATGGATTTTTGTTATTTCCTATGAACTGGAGGGTAGACTTTTATGGGTAGTTGTTCCATTTAAAGCAATCATCGTACATATTTTTAAAAAGCATCGAAGAATCCCCGAACTCCTTGGGATTTTTCACAAAATTGCAGTGTTTATTGATAAAACGATAAATATTGAAATAATCATTTGCATTCCAATGTGTACACTATAATTAAAACCTGTTGGAAAGGTGGCATTCCAAAGCAGTCAATTTTAGTTAAAGCCGTTGACAGAAATATTAAAACGAAAAATATGCTGTTCTAATTCCAAGTATTTCAAGGCAAATGATATCTTTATTAGAAGCTATCTTTAGTTCACATGTGTTTATACATAAAAAAATAAGTGCATTGATTAGCTGATATTATTTCGAATTCCCTTTCCAACCAAACGGGAATTAGCTGATGATTTAATGGAATTCCTCTTGAATAGTTCTCTATGGGGTTTTTCCAAATAATATTCAAGACTTTTATCTACTTACTACAAGCTGGAATGTGTTTTCTTCTCATTTTAGTCCTATTGTTAGAAACTTTAGATTGCAGCCTGAAAGAAATGTTGATCTAGTTTGACTAACAACCTCAGTCGTTTTAATATCGAGCAGAACACACATTTAATAAGGCTGTTGTTTTATCCACTTGTGTTGAACGTGTGAAGAGACAAATTTCACCCCGTTTGTTGTGTTTATTTTGCTGAAATTTGCACTTTCAACCTTCTGTATCTAGAAAACGAAACGATTTTCTAAATTTATTCTGTTGAAATCTGACTCACGCATACTAATCTTATTTGCGACCTAAAGGGAGCTTCGGTGTTTAAAGTAAACTCACTGGGGTCTTTCTTTAAGCTAACTGAGTGAAATTTAGTGTCACGCAAGTAGCCATTTGCCAACACTCGATTCATCGGGAAAAACAAAACCCTAGAAAACATTTTAAATGGAAATGACACCAATTCTTTTTGCATGTCGTTTGCAAACCGTCCTTTGACGTAATTAATGCGTAAAACCTTTAAACAACGTAAACATTTAATTACGTCGCTTAAAACCGTGTAACGATTGAAATATTTTCATGACCAAACTCTTACCTTGGTGGAATTGTGCAGTTATGTCGTTCTAATTTCATTTTTTATCTTGTTTTTTTGAAATTATCTGCAACAAATCGCTGAGAAATTTTTGAACTGTTGTTGAAGCACCAAAAAAATCGTGCGTAGGTATAAAATGCGAAATTCAAAATAATGTTTGAATAGTACATGAATGGTAAATATAGTGAGTTTAGACATTATTTTAATGAATGAAATACTAAGTTTAGAAGGAGAAAGATTTACCTATTTTCATAAGCACTTTCCTGCTTAGGAGATAGCGATAGAATATTTTTACGTGAATATAATTGCGTTGTTTGTTAACTATAAAAGTTAACAGTAAATCTGCATTTGTCACACTGATTTCAGGGTTTAATTTGTTTTCTAATCTACAGTCCAAATTTGTCTTTATTGGCATCAAATCACGTCTTTGATCAATTAATTATACAGGAATAAATAATAATGTCGGTTGTGTATTTTTAACAATCACACTTGTGTTTCTTCTTCAAGTTCAAAATATTCTGTGACACTTATAGTCATTAAATCTGATATCATACATCACTTTACCGTTTCACCGCTTTTGCCTTCCGATTACATATTGACGTGGGAACATGTCAAAGTAGTTCCTGGAATCACATTTAAAAATGAACTCGCAGATAACATTACATCAGTTTAGTAAAACAGTAATTTTTCGCGAGAACATGCAAATCGCGATAACAGCGGTTTCCACATGCTAATCAAATCAGGAACTTACCGCACTATAAATTTAACATTTTTGGTTTCGAATGCTATAATATCTCCGTTTTAAAGGAGATCCTTGAGGTCATAGGAGGTCCTTGAGGTTACATTGCACTCCTTTGATCAGTAATTTCGTTTGTCTTTTGCATGGATGCATCGTTAATGCTTGCCAGATTAAGTTAGATTGTAATTATGGTTTTAGTTTTTTCTATTTGAATTAAAAATATGGAAAGTATGATTCGAAACATGGATACGCCACTGCAAGATAAGATTAAGTATATTCTAATGCAGTCAACGGCTTGAAAAAGCGGATAAGTAATATGTAAACAATGAGGCACGTGCGAGGTTCATCTTTCTCTCTAGGTTCAACGATTTTTCGGAATGTCTCTTTGTCAGCGATAATGGTTTTCCTGGCAATTGCCGTACCAGCAAAACTGTTTTTTAAAATTATGTCCATGCAATGGTTGCAGTTGAATGGTAATACAGTAGGTACAGATTATACTAAAACTTCTTATGCAATTTTTCTTGATTTTTTGGTCGGAATTTTATACAAGCAGTGGTTTAAAAACATCCAATTCTTACAAATTCGTCTCATCGTCCCTTTGGTTGTCTTTGGAGTTCAGAAGTCACATTTTCAGTTTTTCTCCCAATTTGCTTTAAATGAAGACCGTTTTCATTATCAAAATAGAGGGCTTTCCAACTCTTCCTCAATTTTTCTCTCAACAAGGGAGTGAAAACGGAGTAATGTTGCGTTCACCTTAAAATTAAAATTTTCTATTTTTTTCAATCGAAAAATGTCCGTAATATTGTTCGGTTAATTCAATGATTTAAGCTTTCGAGGCCATTGTTTGAAGTTGGTGAAATTTTCACGCTAATTTCAGGCTGAACCCAGCTGATGAGAGCTAATAGGCTCGAAACCGGTTCTGGGGGTGTGTGAGGAGTATTTCAAAAGCTCATGCCGGCTCTGCTGATGCCGAAAGCTTTTCATTGTCCAAACTGATCATGTTTCATCTATTGAGTAAACTGCAATATATTATCTCACTCTAATGTGTGCCTGAAAAGTCCAATTATAAATAAAATAAAACATATTCAAGTAAACGTAATGAGTCTCTGACTATGCGCAAAAGAATATTTTTTGCAAAAGATTGTCCTGGCGTTGATCACAGTGACACAATTCATGATTTTGATCAACAGCATATAAAGTTGAAAACGCCGAACACCATACACAAAATCCTGAAGACTTTTATCTGTAAATTGTGAGACCTTTCCCACGGTGATCAGTCTGCATAAATGCTACGTTGCCGCGCTTGTTTTTTATGCATTTTTAAATCACTGGATCAACCTTTCATGACAATACAGAATACAGAGCGATTCCTGATGGTTTAAAAATTCGTAAAAAGTGACGTCTTTTTGTATTCCATGCATTGTTATTTTTTTTATTTCCACATCATCGATTTCTGAAGTCGTTTCTTTCAAAGTTAAATAAAATTGAAGCGTTTAATTCAATTATGAGAGATATGGAAGCACATGTTTAGTGCCCGTTCAATAATAACTTCAGGCTGTAACTGATTTAATACCAGGCCCTATTTCCATTTTATAAAATAAGAATCCAATTGTGCCAAGCGTAAGAAGTGCACAAATAACGACAGGCACAAACCTTATGTGGTAGTGCCAGTAGGGGCAGCCCCAAAGAAAAATGACCTACTTGAAACAAGAGAATGCTCTGATTACATCTAAGTGAGAATGAGACCGTAATAAAAGGATACAGCTAATGTGGGCCGAATGTTGATTGCGCTGCTTGAAACGAGTTTTCAGAAGTATCATCTTTTTAGTTAACTAAGCAGCTATCGGAAAGTTTGCGAAGTAAATTATTGTCACGGCGCAATTTAAGAATTGCTCCTATCTAACATTATTTAAGGAATGTTAATGAGAATGCATTGGTTTGAATGACTCTTTCGCTGATAGCCTCATCCATAATAGATTAATCAGCAGGCAAAAATGCGCCAATTGCCAAATGATTATTGATGAATCATGTGAACAAAACCGTCAATGAGCACAATCTTTTCCGAGCATTTTCGCCACATCGGCATTGTTTAGCTCTGTGTGGGTCGTCAATGAAATATTCCCTGTCAAGACCTAATGTACACTTCCTTTAGCTTATGAAATTTACAATGCTTCTCTCGTCGTTCTATGAATGGGAATTACTATCTAAAGTTTATCAAGGTCAAACGATAGTAACACCACAGACCGCATGCTGTAGCCGTGGGTTATTCACCATTGAAAAACTGAGGAATGATATCTAACGGACATCGTTTTATCGAATTTAACGATGTCGGTATTTGAGATTGATAATCGAGCCCAAAATGTTTTCATTATTCAGATATTTCCCGTTTAATCAACCAGCTACTTAAAAACCTTTAAATCATCAGCGTTAAATGCAATTCTATTGATTGCTTCAAGCATAGTACAGCTGAGTTGCTTTGAAGCTTCAACTTCTTCATATCATTTTGGAACCGGTTTGAAAATCGGAACTCTTGACTGATGATATGGACAAAGAGCATCAGCATAAGCTAAATATATTTTCTTTTTTCAGGTAAGCCGGTTAATTAGTTCTATGCAATACCAGATTTCGGTAAGTCAAAGATCAATATGTCAAATTGTCTGTTCTCTTGTGCGACATTACACATTTTGCTTTTGCCACAATTAATCCTAAAGCTGAGTAGATCAGTTCTATATGGCTGAGGCTGTTTTCTCTCAATTTTTTTTATTTGGGATTTAATGTATTTATTTATATAATTTAATTTAATGCACCTAAAGGGCATTTGACGGCACATTTAGGCTCAAGTGAGAGGAAAATTCCAATTAGTAAGGAAATGAATGCCTAAAAACGAATTTATTAATAAATTGTTAAACAAGTGAATGCAAATCTGTAAAAATTCTCACTTGCTTCTTTAAAGCTTGGTTTTTGTAATTTTTACTGGTTGCTGAGGCGAGCAAACCATTTGTGAACATGCAATTCACACTCGTGTTTGCAACACCTCAGGAATAATTTTATTGAATTCATTTCGATAATTTTTATTTGGACATTTACATTTTATTTTATGTCATATTGACTTAATTTTATTTGAATATTAGGTTTTTAACGTTGTTTGAAATACATGTTACATTATTAAAATTAATATGTATAATGTAATTTAAACTAGAATAGAGGATACATTCTGGTCACGCTTTTTCCGAAAATTGTAAATTTGAAATCGTGGAAAATTTTCAAATAAATCTGAATTTTACCAGGAACACGCAATAAGCTTTTTAAAGTTTTGCAAATAAATACTTGTTGGTTATGTTCTATGTTGTATAGAATATAGAGCGTCATATTTGGTTCACTTTTAAAATGTTTTATACATTTTCAAATCGACTATTTTAGGCATTTTAAATATTTAAACTGTGCATTTTGTCCCCACTTTATCTTGATAGGTTGCGGAACTAGAGCACAGAACATAATGTGCGTCAAGGTAAGTTTTTAGGAATGTTAGTAGGATAAGTAATAGAAACTGCTTTCTTGTACATGTTCAAAATTTTACAAATTACATTTGCTTACGGCCTGTTTGAAATGCGTTTTGAAGCCGACGACTTAGTCCTCAATAGATCATTTAATCTTCCAAGATATGGTCAGATACTAGGAGAGTAAAAAACTGGATTTATGTCCAACAATTCGTTTTTTATTAGTCTGGTTCTTCACGTATTAAAGATATTTTATGTATCTGAATTTTGGGTTTTTCTTATTTTTCTTAGTAGTTTTATTTTAAAAGAAGCATATACTGAGTGGCCGTTTGAAACAGACCCAGTCTGGAGCTCCGAAGAGAAATTATGATAAAAAAACAGAATTAAACTGCCCCTATCTGTAACCCTTTAAGCACGGGGTGTGCTCAACCTTCAAATTTTGTTAATTTAAGATTTGATAGCTGAACACCTCCTTGCTTAGAGACTTGCAGATAGGGGCAGTTTAATTCGAGAAAAATGAGTTCCTTCCCTTGAAAAAAAAAATCCTCAAAAACGTATACCTAAAGGGTTTTTCATAAATTCTCTTACGGGCTCAAAACGGTGTCTGTTTCGTTTGCCAACGGCCACCCTGCCCCCGGAATACCGGATAAGCAATGTTGGCTCAGTTTAAAGGCCGTTCATGACTAATTGAATGGAAAATATCTAAACTTCACACTTACCTACATTGCCGCAATGACCAAAAATGAATTATTGCAATTAAATAATTGGATCATGAGGCACTGGAAATTTGGGTCCTGCCAGTGCTCTATAATTTCAGCTAGGAAATTGCCCGATTTTGGATTAGAAAGCCAGCTTTTAAGCTCTCGTTTGTCGTAAGAAAAATTGGTCTTTTGGCCAAAAAATCAGTTATTTATATTGTCTCTTTTGATTTGAGAGAATGTGCGCCTTGCCGCATCTCATTATACGCTGCATCTTTGGTGGGTTGTCTTTTTTTCGTTTTCCGATCGGCTCACATCATTGATGCCGGCGGTGGCGTCAAACCAGCATCCTTCCTTTCGCCCAAAGTACACAAACAATAATTTCGAACCGATTATCCCATCTCCGAAAAAATTCCATCGCCTGAAAACGAGAGATATTCTCGCGGGTCGCCGCTCTATTATTAAGCGCGGAGTCCGAAAGGAGCCCCGAAACCGATCGGCGGCAGCCCCTTTTTCTTTTTCTTCTTCCTCTTGTCGATTACCGTTTATCACGTTCCGGAGCGACATTTTGGCGGATTGGAAATCGATCGATAAGTTACTATACAGAGAGTGGCAGAACATGGGTAATTGACACTAAAGTGTTCCCAATCATTTTGCAAAGGGCACCTGGATGAACAATTGACAATTGGATAGCTCAGCTACTTCCGGGAACCGGAACAGTGAGTGAATAGACCGCATCTTCAGTTTCGTTTTAGTGCCGGGCTGGACGTCAAAAGCTAACAATTAACGCAAAGTCGCGTGTGTATTTGATTCAATCACTGACTAGAAAAAACCTTGTTTGATTAAGTGCGAAAAAAAGTTTCGCTTTGCCATTTAAAGTGGAAAATTATGTTAACGAAGGGTTTACTTCTTTCCAGGGGCAAATAACAGCAACAGGTGTGGGTTTTTTCTTTCGCTTCGGGAGCTTTTTGCAGAAGCAACTATTTCATATGCATATTTTCGTGATAAAAAGGGCGCCAGCAATTAAGATACCGATTTCTTTTTTAAGATGAAAGGCAGGCAGTGTTAAATTTTGCAGTAAAATGTCTCAAAATCAGTAGTACTGTTTGTGCGTCTATGTATGGGTGAGAGTTCAAAAGCTTGAGCCTGTCAATTTTTTTTGCGTAAATGCAATTTTTGATACCAAATTTATTTGTACATGGTGGTCCGAAAAGACGTTACGACCAACAACTTTATTTTTTCAAATGAAAGCACCTGCTTTTTAATTCAATTTTACATTTTTCCACAGCTGAATGTCGACATTACTTCTGGGACTCACTCACTCACTGGGGGAATAAATAAACTGGAGGAATTCCGTTCGTCTATCAATTTGTGTGAAATTCTACCTTTAGTTTCTAGGTTGTTTTCTGCTGCCTGCAGACAGGGTGAGCCAAAATTAGGTTGCATTTCCTACGACCAACAATCGTACAAAAACTGTTTACATCCGTAATCGATTGGTTTTCGCGATACAGATATTTTAAATGTTCTTGTAGTTTTTTTGTTTACGTTTCTTGTAATTTGCTTAATCCTTGCCGTTTTATTTACCAGAAAACTTCCTTTTAACATCGAGCCCTGATATGAGATGCAAACATTCTTGTGAACATTAAAAACTTGCAGAGATGCAAACATTCTTGTAAACAGATTTCTTTATATTTCTTAAAGTTTCTCTGGAGTTGTTTTACCAACATCCCGCTATTTTTCCCGTTGGCTATCGGGGCCTTCCTCGCTCGATTAGAAAACATTGATTGTTTTATTAGTTTGTTACTTGTTGTTGTTGTTCCTGTCCCTGTACTTCAGTGGCGTGTTGTCGGTTTCTTTCAGTCCATGCAGCGGCGGCCGCATTCCACGGCTTGGAATGCGACCGTGCGATCCGCGTTTCCGAGAACTGACCAGTGACCACCGACCTGCCTTCTTCTTCTTCGTTCGAAGCCCGCCCGACCAAAAGAGCTTTGGCCCCCGTCTGTTTTGACGACTCTGCGGAAAAACTAGAGATGAAACGTTTTCAGAATAATGAAATTTTTATTTCAACTTCTTTCAAGGCACAGAATTCCCTAGTTTATAAGCTCCTGTATGAGTTGTTGTCGCAAATCGAGTGTATCTGGTTCATTAACATTGCTAATTGATTTTTGGCTTACCTCTCATTTTTTATGCTTAATGTGTAAGATGGATCTTCTAAGGGTAATTTTAGCGAAAAAAAGGTATGTTTAATTCGTATGAAGGATCTTGGCACCAAGCGACCAAGGAAACACTTTAATTGAAAGAATCTTGCTGTCGCGAAAACGCAAAAGAATAGTTTTTCTTTCGAGAAATATATTTAGTTCAATCAAAGTGCACTTTGAAAGCCCACAGAGTTTCCTATCATTTCTCGGTTTTATTTTGCCAAAAGTGTTAAAACTTCAAGTTGCTCTGGCTTTAGCCCACATGAAACTAGAAGGGCGTTTTTTCTGAGTATTGAATAAATAAACTTTCTCGTCCAATATATTCTCTTCATATCCGCAACATTTTTCGCAAGATAACTCTTTAGAAATTGAATTGAGAAAAAATTGGAATTCATATTCAGCAAATTTCTAGATCTAAATGCTCAAAGTTTTCAGCATTCCGTCTGGTTGTTTCTCAGAAAATCCAATTCAACTGAAGAAAATGCTAATTTATGTTGATTAAAATATCGGATGCAAAAAACTAATAATCAGATTGTGTTTATTGTAAGAAAACATCTCTACATAATGGTTGTTCCTTAACTGGGGATGCTTGACCCAAACTTTGAAACGGACGTTTCAAAGTTATTAACCGCCCAAGTGCAGACAGCGAACATTGACAAACTTCTTCCGCTTTTTCGGTAATCTGCTGCAAGAATCTAAACTTTCAAAATTGAACCAATCCCACCCTGGCGCGTCTTCTGCATTAGAAGTTGGACTTTGAACTCCGAAAAGCAAAGGACGATGTCTTCATATATGTACCTGGATTACCAGGAATCTTACCCAAAAGCTCCATTAACTTCCTAAAGACCCAGGTAGAAATTTGGGATTTATTGACCTCTCGTTCTATTTAAATGTGTTTCAAGAGTCTGAATAAAAGATACTTAATTGAATGAGAGGAATGATCTCGCTTCTCGGAATCAGTGTTGCTTGATTTGTTCCCCTACTAGGACAGGTATAACTTGAGGATCAATGCAAAAGTATCTAGAAAGGATTTTTATTGAAAACCGACATGGAAGTTTGTTTGGGAATTTTGAAAAACTGCTCGATGTTTTCGTTAATTTGTAATTTTATCCCGGTTTGAGGTAAAAAAATAATTTTCTCATTCCATTTCATGCAACAATGTTTATTCCAATCAATCGACTTCATTTAAGTGCATTCCACTGTGCGCATTATTTTGTATATCTCCCTTGTATATGAATAATCAAAGGAATCGTTTATTAATGAACAAGTTCATGAATTAAATATCCTGGAAACAGTTGCAAATGTATTTTTGCCTTTTATCTTGCTTTATCATACTCCAAAAACTGATGTTCTCGGTCGCTGACGTAAATACGTTCGCGATGACCGTTTCGAAAGACGGTCCGGTATTATTAATAACAGTTTCGAGCAATTCACGTTCACAACAGCAATTCTTGGAAATGTAAAAGGTTAATTTTTGCACAAAGCTAATAAACGAATGCAGATTGGGTTTCACAAAAAACACCGTGTCTTGCTTGTGAAGGTCGGGGACATTTGGATTAAGTTTTTGAGATTTTCAACTTCAGACAATAACAGCGCTAAGTATATGAATGTTTTCAATAGTGGCTTGTTTTTTTGGTTTCTTAAATTATTTTCTGATGCTTCAGAGTTATTTTTCAACATCATGTAGGACTTCAAATGGTTCCTACAAGTATACATAATAATAATTATACATACTTGTGGCTAAACGAAAAAGGAAACAATTTTAAGAGTATTAAGAAATGCTAAGACACGCCACTTTTCATTGAGCATGTTTTCGGAATATGATGTAATTTCTATCTGCAATCTTTTTGCCAAGGTAGAGGCTCCACCCCCAGAATTGGGCTGCCACGGATTAATCGTACGATTTATTGCAGACTTAGGGCATCTTGGAAGTTATTGCCGATTGTGAAAATGTTTGGGTTATTTGATGTTTGCTAACTGTGCAAGGACGATGTTGGAAGCGATTGGCGAGGTAGTGACAAGGAAAAAAGCAATTAACGAACTATTAGACAAACTAAAGCAGAAAAGTATAGATTAAAGGCATAAAAATTCCTCTATCCAAAAATAATGGCGGCCTTCTCTAAACGATTAGTAGTTTCTAGGTATGGATTTAAAGCCAGATTGGTTTTCATTATATTGGTTGAAATTTTCGCTTTTATCGTAATCCTGTCTGGGAAAAACCGGTCCGGAAGTACAGTAATGATTTTTCTTATCAATTTCGTGACAGCTCTAGAGAGGTAACGAGCATTTTCCATTAAGAAATTGTAAGAGATTTTGCGAGAGAATTTGTAAGAGACATTGAAATCGACATTTTAGGAAAATATTCTCTCGGAAATGACACTGTGGCTCTTTAATCAACCTTTTTACTGGAAATTCGTCGCTATATCATATGCAAAAACTCGAACTATTACCTAGAATCCATATAGAAAATAGTCATACATTTTTTATGAGTCGCAGAATCCGACTACGATGACTGAGCATTTTCTATCTCGATCGAACACTCACTTGGCAATGTTCTAATTGAATCAGCAATAATTCATCATTTTTAAATGACAAATTATCGATGGACTGATATTATGTTAATCTGTTTACTTTGAGCTATTAGACCAACACGTTTCACTAATTCACTTCTACATACCTACTTTATATTCTATTTGAACGAAGAAATTAAAAAAGCTGTCGATTTGGAGTATTTTTTTCGGTTCTTTGACTCATGCCAAACTTCTATATAATTTAGTATCTACGTAAGCGACTCGAACATTAGTTGCAAATATTGAGGAAATTTGAAAAAGTCTAGCAATGCCACTCTTTACTAGAAAATATAAAAAATAAAATATAATTTATAACATCTCTTTTAGATTTCCGAGTCACCGGCGAATATGAACCGCGTTTTAAATAGTCGCATTCAATCCGTGTCATAATTAATGCACCGGTTTCATGTGCAAGATATATCATGTCGCATGCAAGACCCTGATTATTTTCATGAGTGATTAGTATATTCAATAAAGACGCAAAGTTAATGAATTGAGGTTATCATTATACCCTTATTTGATTGAATCAAATTAAAGACATTGTGACGATCATTGTTGTGCTACAATACAATAAAAACCGCTACATCTTTCGCTTCAATTAACGCAATTTTTCCTGCCTGAAGCAGATTTGGGTAGATAAATGCAGAGAAGGATTTTAAAAGCTTATCGTCTAAAATTATGTATTCGTCTGGAGGAAAGTTCGAAATCCAAGCGTTCAAAGGTGAAGTTAGTGCTGAAGAGAAATATGAGCGTAAATAAAGCCTAAACCAAACTTATTCGTGCTAGACCATTATGCATGACTAAACCAAACTAGACGATGACTGTAAAACTCTAATACTTAACTCGTTGACCGTTAGTGAATGAACTTTGGGACTCATTAGTGTCAGGGCATTTCCGACGTAATTAACTCGGGTCACTGCTTTTTTTTGTGACGCAATCGCTGTCTGAAGTGTCGTTATATTGCTGGATGCCTTTAATATACCGAAGTGTTTTTGCTCATTTCGATGGGCAATGGCATGTGTGTTTAACGCACTACTGTCCCCCTAGTCAAAACGAACTTTCCCATAATCAGCGCCGTGTGCGTAACAAATCCCACTTTTCACATTTTTTCGTACACAAAACAACAGTTTCATACTCATATCGCTGGCACCGTTCCACGATTCGGTGTGTGGGTGACGCGAAAACACAATCTGGAGTTCTGGACACATATTCTCGAACAATTACAGGTTCACGCAAATTACACTCAACTTTACAAGTCTGACCCACAAACCTCACATTTCAGTTTTGAGGTTTTGGCTAAATTATCGTGATGAAAAACCGCAACGAGGCTGGTTAAATCAGCAGCTATTGTGGCTGTGAATGATATTATTTGAGCATTTCCATTCTTAACGTCATTTTTCAACCGTTTAAGCCAAATCCACTAAGATTTAAGATTTATTCGTTAACTGACACAGAAACTTTGTGGCTTCCGTAAATATGTAAAATGAAACTATTAAAACGCTGATGGGAAAGTTATTACGTACGATGAGATCAATCCTTAATACATTTAATAGTAAGCACTGGATTTGAGGATGAAATTGCTAAAATGGGCTTAAATAAGTATCATCATCATCATGATCATGATTAAATCGGCAATCTCGTCCACAGGATACACGTTTTTCCAACCGGTCTGCACTTTTCAGACATACAAGTGCATGAAAATAAGTGTCTTTCGTGGCTTGAAAATTCAAAAAATTCCCAGTAACGCTGAAACCGACAAAAGTGAACATTCAGTTTTTTTAAAGATTAACTGAAACTCATAGATAATAGATATATCCTATTTTCCTCAAAAAAACATCATGGAAAATCTGGCAAGAACCATTTTTCAAAAACTTGATTCTTCGCACTCTTTATTCGGAAATTATTTAATGGAAAAAGTCATCCAGGGACAATGAAAGGATGATAAACGATAAACGGAGATAATGGCAATGAAGTTAATATAAGAATACTAGAGGCTCAATTTGAAAAGTCGTCTTCCATGAAGCGCCTAAAGGAAATTACAAATTCACACAAGCCAAAGCAAAGAAGATAAATTCTAATAAATAATAAAACTATGAGGGGAGAAGAAATTAATGACTGGCGCATAAAACAACAGGAAATTATATAAAAACGGCAGTTAAAGAAAACAACTTCTCATGCAAATGAATCTAACTGAGAATAAAGATATCCACATTGTGATAATAAATGAAGCGTACTTAAAAGAAACTATCAATATACAAGGTGTTTCAATTTTATATCCGGGAAACGGTGATAATACACTGCACGGAAATCAGTAGAAACTTTCATATAAAATATATAGAGAGTGTGCCACTTAGAAATTTTATTTTGTTTTGACTTTCTGACTCAGCAGTTTTGAACATTTTTACCTAAATGTATTTCAGTGATTCACAATGTTTCCGACTAAATGAGTGGTATTTAAACTTCTGGTAAGAAAACAGATAAGAAACCAGAGAGTTTCTAAATTGAAAATCGAATTTAAAAAACTGTTGTTAAAATTCAGTGGCGCTCCACAAAAAAACGTTTGGGGTGTACACACCAATAAAGTATTGAGCTGGGAAATGTGTATAGTCAATTAAAATAAATTAAAAATGTAGATTTATTGGCGGGGGACAATTGTTATTATAATCGGAAGACTTGAAGAATCTGAACTTCCAGTCATTTTTTCTGTTGAGTAAAACTCTTGGTTCTTCACAAAATGTACTTTCTCACGTCAATTGCCTTCATTTTTAATAATTGTTAATTGTTTTATTATGTTCACCTTTTGAAAGTTGAAGTTGTTAAACAGTTACATGTTTTGTTGCACTGAAATTAGTCTGCACATGAAAATAATGGGTACTTCTCACACTTTGCATGCATTTGAGTCTGAAAAATTGTGCACGCTGTCCGAAAGTTGTTGTGTCTGTAAAGTGGCGGCCACCGACGACTGGGGGACACTTACGAAAATAACAGCAGATGTATGTATGCGATAAGCAGCGAAAATAATTCCAGACAATATTAATAATACATCATCAGCGTCGCAGTATCCAATCCTTCTTTGGGTAACGAATCGTAAAAGTATCATATTGAAAAAAGTTTGCCTTTTCGAGACATTGACATTCATGCGTCGAAAGAACTCTTACGAAGAAAAGTATTTAATCCAATCCTCACAGTCGGCTTGCTGTTATTAATTTTGCGAAAACTCAACTTTTTTTAAGCGAAAACCGATAATTGCTTCAAGTGCAGCTGAAGACAGCACATCGAATTGAGTTCATCTCGCCCTAAATCGGCACTATTGTCTTTGAGGATCAGTGTCAAGTTGTAATTTGTACTTGTAACTTCGAAATTTCGTATGATTAAGTCGAGAGTCGCTTCTTATGGGTTTCTAGATCCTAATATTTGACAATCCATGCAGATTGTTTTACTGGAAATTGACTCTTCTTTTGAATCCTTCTGCTTTTACAGACTTTGCATGAGTGTGCAACAAATCCAACAACTTGCCGTAACATTGCTAGCTAGGCATATGGCTAGTGAATGCTCGAAATATCCGAATTCCACCTCTGTTCAATTTGCAAGGCGCTTTCTTAAATGTCTTTCCATATTAAGTAAATTGCGTCGTTTGTTTTTGATAGCTTCCGCGATTTCTTGTAATGTTTTCTTCATTTGTAGACTCATTGAAACGCCCACAGGCTCTCAATCTGTATTTTTTGGCTGCTCAACAAATTACCAGAACAATGTCTATTAGACCTCATTATATTGGTAATTTTCTTAGATTCAGTGGTCAATTTCAATCCACAGGTATTTTGGATTCTTTTTCTCTGTAGTCATCAAATGCTTTTTCCAATCATCCGCAATGCTAAATGACACGTTCAGGACTTATATTAAATCCACCAGCTAAGAACTTCCTTTTCCTAGTGCCTCCATGAAATTAGTTCACAATTGTATAGTGGAAGAAGGCGAGCGTGCAATGTTGATAATGCTAAAACAACTTAATTGCCATCAAAATGAGCAGAACCGGGACCACCCGGAATGCTCACAAACCAGGTTTTTACTTCTTCAGGCTTCTATGCTGTGTTTTCTCCACTTTGATTCCATTTCGTGAAGCTGTGGTTTGCATCAAGTGGGTTTCTAATTGCAAAGTGCCATTTCTAATAACAGTTTTACCTTTGGTATTTATTGGAATTTGCCAAGGTGATGCAAAAACTAAATTTTCATTTCCCCATTGAAACTGGCTTTGGAAAAAGTGCAATTCTATGTTGAATTATTCAATATCCAGCTTGGATGTGTGATGTAACAAAATGGGGAATCTGGGTTAGACGAAATGCATAAATATCTGAATTTTGAAGTGAAAATCGGTGGCCAAATCGTCTATTCTATTGGAAAATTCTTGGGCCCGGTGGCGGCATCGTTGGCGGCGGCACGCCCGGTTCGACGACCTCTGCAAACGCGTCTTTTCCTTTTGCTCTATGCCGCATCCAGAGGGTACTCATGCACTCAAAGGAAGAGGGATGCTAGAGGGAGCGCTGAAATTCGAGGCATAATTCATGTTATGTGGTCGGCTATTGATACTGAAAGAGCGATGGACGGGATAAGTAAGACTGAAAATGCACAGAGATAAGGTTGTGAATGGTAATTGAACATTTAAGTGTCGGATTTGGTCGCGTTAAGCATTTTGAGGACAAGTTGCATTAAAATGATACATGTTTTGTGTCTTTTCATGTTAGATAACATGCTTGTGCTGGCGTCGTTGACACAGTCTGGTAATCGGTAAACCCGAAAACCGAACATTTTGGTATGTGGGAAGTCGTATCGAAAAAATGCTTTTTTGCATTTCCGAAGACTTTGTGAATATTAAAGCGCGTCTAATAAAAAGGAAGCAGCTTTTGCCTAAACATTTTCTTATTGATTGAAGTTTGAATACATATTTGAAAAATTTAATACATTTAAGAACATCAGGAAATTTATAAATTGTCCTCTGAGTAAAAACAACAAAACTATGATTATTTAGTATTTTTGTTTTATGCAAATAGGTGTACCTAATTGCATCCTAATTCGTGTTTGTTAGTTCTGATCAAGTTTTTAAATAACAATTTTCGATCTTGTGCAAACTAAGGGTCGGTACTAAGGTTGGAGTAACTCGATTCTTAGAGAATTTTTGTCTCTCAAAAGATAAGTATCCATTGTTTTCCAATGCTCTTCTAACTCATCTAGTGCGTCGTTTCGCTGCAAACCGGCATAAGCTTCGTTATTATTGTGGCATCTGTTTTAACACCCTGTATGTAATCAATTTATTTTCAAAGATTTGAAACTTAGGTATTTGCTGCGTTTAACGGTTTTCGATTTTTGTGAATAATGAATTTATTAACAACTTCTTGGTATGGTCATGGCTTTTTGAGCACCTGCACACTTTATTTTTCTTTTCTGTTATATACAGGGTGATTCAAAGTTGGCGAAATTCCTTAGGGGTAATTCCAAGGGGTAATAGGGGCTCACTTATTGAGTAGGAGAAAAATATTGAAAATTGTTTTTTCGATCATTTCTAGAAGATTTTAACAGTTGAAAATCGAATTTCAACTTTGTTTTTAAACATTGGTAGCATATTGGAATACTTAAGCATTGAGAAAGAAAAATTACGATCTTTGCTTAAGAAAAAGCTACGAAGCAACAGGTATTTCCGCAATGTTAAGTAGGCAGATTACCTTGAAAAACATTGTTGCCGTTTTTTCACATAGTTTTTTGCAAATTTCTTAGTTTTTAATAACAATTAATTTTTTTTACTATTTTTTCTGTTCTGAAACATCGCCAGAGGAATGACGCCAATTTTGAATCACCCTGTATTTTCAAGAACCTACAGCTTCTGTGCTTCATATTTTTCGCCAACTATTTTCATTCGGGAAATTGTTGGTGAAATAAAGTGGACACACTCTTATGTATGAATAAAAGTGTATTGATAAATGATAAAGATTAACACAGTGCAAAAGTAGATTTCCGAACACGAAAACAATTCTGTATCAGCAGCGATTTGACG